CCAACAAGCAAATTCAACGGGGGAGGCCAGATTCATTTAACAACAGTGAGATTCACTTAAGAACTGCGGTGATTTTGCTTAAAATGGAGGAGGGGGACCATTGTAAACTATGGAGTTTCACTTAACAACCGCCTTGCTTAGCAACAGAGATTCTGGTCCTAATTGTGGCCATAAATTGAGGACTACCTGTAAAATTCTACTTTTTTTTTTTTTTTTTTTGTTAACCGGTATAGCCACAATTGGGCACAACCAAATTCTAGTGGCTTGGGAAGGGATGCGACAAATGCCAAATTCTCTAGATGTATCTGGTAGGATCCATCTTGCTTGGGGAAAAAAATGCCTTCTATCAAATCTGGGCTTTAGCAAAACTTTATTTTTAAGATAGTAGTGGCCAAGAAAGATGGAGGAAGGCCGCCACCTACTGGTTTTATTTAGCAATATCTTCCTCAGCCAAAGAGGAATGCAAGCATTAGTGTTTTAGCCAATCCAGATGTTCAGAGAAGGCCAAACTGGAAGTTTATCCAGTTAAAATGGTGGGGCAAAGCATATTTGGAGGTAGTTAATTCTTCTACATATCCCTTATGCTCTGGGTTAAGACATGAAGGCAGAAGAAGCTTTAGCTGTGCTACAGAAATCTGCTGGGCAAGACTTCCCAACTAACCCAGTGTTTTGCCTCCAACAGGGATAGCATCTTTCCGTTTTGGATCCTAGTGCTCTCAGGAAGCAGGGTCTGCAGGACTGGATGGAAAAAAAATCTCATTGCATCTTGTAATTATCAGGGAGCGAGGAAGAAAAGAAGGAAGGAACGAGAAAGGGAGTGGGAGGGAGGGAGGAGAAAGGGAAGGAAGGAGAAACAAGAAAGAAGGAAGGAAGGGAAATGGAGGGAGGAAGAAAAGGAGGGAGGAAAGGAAGAAGGGAGGGAGGAAAAGGTGGGGAACAAAGGAGGAAGGAAGGAAGGAGGAAAGTGAGGAAAGAAGAAAGAAAAATAGGGAGTGAAGAGAATGAAAGGAGGAGAGAGGGAGGAAGAAGAAGACAGGGAGGAAGAAGGAAAGAAGGAGAAAGGGAGAGGGAGGGAGGGAGGGAAAGGGAAGGAAGAAGGAGAAAGAGAGTGAAGGGAAGGGTTAGGATAGCAATCAACAGGTTTGCTTAACAACCATGGAGGCTTACTTAAAAAGCACAGTGTTCCCTTAATTATTTGCTTGATAATTGCCCCAAAAACGTTTTAAAATTGGATCTGATTATGAGATGACCCGCTTTACAATAGGGCAGTCTTCATTATAGTCATAAGTTGAGGACTACCTCATAAAACTCATGGAACAGGATGCAGGAACATTGAATAGCTGATTGGAAATCTGTGTAATCACCACCAGCACTCAGATATGAAAATTCCCCCAAATTCCTCCTCTAAATTGCAATCTTGGGCCTATCTTGATGAGATCTGTGCCAGCAATTATGCTTATTGGATGTGGAATAAACTTTGCTCCTGAAAGGTTTTGTACAGTGGTGGGTTTCAAATTTTTTTAGAACCTCTTCTGTAGGTGTGGCCTGCTTTGTGGGAGTGGCTTGCTGACCATGTGACTGGGTGGGAGTGGCTTGCCGGCCATGTGTTTGGGTGGGAGTGGCTTGCCAGCCATGTGGCCAGGTGGGAGTGGCTTGCCAGCCATGTGACTGGGTGGGCGTGGCCAACTGTTGAAACTCACTTAACAATGCTTTTGCTTAGCAATCAA